CTGCCTGAAACCTGTAGTCAACTTTCAGAGGGTGCAGTTACTAAAAAAACTTAACAGAAGGAAAAAAAAATCTACTGCAAGCAGAAATAGTTCTGTTTCAACCAAGCCAGGACATGTGTAAAGTGATACAAGTCTTGTTTTGTCTTTTATGCAAGTTTTTTCACTAGTAAAAGAAGTTTTAAGCTCTTCTGTGGTCACTTGTAGTATTTCTTTGCCTAGTAATAGGGAACAACTGAGAGCTTGCACCTTATTCTCTGAGACAGTCACATTAGCAAAACTTTCTGTTTTGGAGTTTGTGCTCAATGGTGAACAGTTATATATTAGAAAGATATTCTGGTCTTTGATTAGTATTTTGCCTAACAATTTGACATTAACGATACACTTTGTCTGATTGCTATTTTTGAAAATGGCTGTAGGACTTAAACAATGCAAACCACATTTTGCTAATGCTGCTTTCTTGACTTTAGAGTCACAATGGCTTCAGCGTTCCGCATCTCTCTGAAACCAAAGGTCAGTGATAGTATGACTCATTTGATGGTGGACTTCGCTCTGGAAAGGCACATGCTCCAGGCTGTAAAGTTTTTGCCAGGTAAAAACTCTACGCAGTGAGTTTAATTTGTTACTACATGAATAACTTGCTATATTTAAAACAAACAAAACAAAACCACACCTCTTGCACTGTAATGAGCAATTTTTTCGGCATACCTGAACTCATTCTTATTCGTTGGGTGTTAAGCTGAATACCTTGAGGGTAAAAGAGTTTCCTAGTTTTATTGTGTTAATTTCTACATAATACAGTATTTCAGAAAGTAACATTGATCTCAGAAGTGAGAATGAGTCTTCCAGACCATGTTTTTTGTTGAGTTGTTAGTTCCTCTGTACTTCCTCAAGTTATCTTTAAGTTTCTCAAGACTGTACCTGCTAGCTTGATGCTTAGTGACATTCCACAGTCCTAGTCATCTGCAGTAGTGTTATGCATGGAACTGTAAGCTACTATGTCACTTACGAGAGTGGTGATATGGTCTGAAATGCAAGAGAGGAATAATCTACTAGGGCAGTGATACTACTGTACTACAAAATGTGTATTGATGCATCTATCTGTTATTATTTGAAAGTAAACTTAGGTGTGCAGTATACCAGTATATATCTTTCATGTCTTTTAATTCATATTGCTTTCCTATTTAAACCACTTTGCCCTTGACTGATACCAAGAATATCTTGATAAGAATACTGCTGGCAGGGATGTAAAGTGTTTCATCTGTAGGTCACTAATCCAAATCTGTTCAGGACTTGGCAGCATCAGTTTACATTTCTGCCCATTTATCTTGTATGCTGCAGATACAGTATGTGGTAGCAGGTGTAGTAAATTACCAACATTATTCCGAGTGGTCAGCTAGCGGTGTCTAGGCGGAAATTCACCTTTTTGTCTTAGACTCTGCATGGCAATCATTGCTCTGTATTTTGTAGGTAAGGGAACGAGGTAAGTAAGCCGATCCCATTTTTTGAAGGGGAGTGTAAAGATCTCACAGCAAGCATGAACAGAGTCTTCTATCTAGATGAAGATATTTAGTATGATTCTTCTTACACATGCATTTTACTTATCAAATACATAGGAATTTAAATTGTTTGGTCCTTTGATTTGTAAACAGGAAAATTAACTGTCTGGGTATCAATCTTGCTTTCTTCTACTGTAATGCCAAGCTGTGAAATTACTCTGACACCAAATACTGATAGCTCAAACTATTGCAGGCAAAATTGCACTGAGCATTGATAGACCTTAGAATCATAGAATCATTATGGTTGGAAGAAACCTCAAAGATCATCAAGTCCAACCGTATACCCGATGCCACCATGCCCGCTAAACCCACTAAATCATGTCTTGAAGCGCCACATCTAAACGTTTTTTGAACACCTCCAGGGATGGTGACTCCACCACCGCCCTGAGGAGCCCATTCCAATGCTTAACTACTCTTACAGTGAAGAAGTTCTTCCTAATATCCAACCTGAACTTCCCCTGGTGCAACCTGAGACTGTTTCCCCTTGTCCTGTCGCTAGTTATTGGGGAGAAGAGACCAACCCCCACCTCGCTACGACCTCCTTTCAGGTAGTTGTAGAGGGCGATAAATAGAGGACCTTCATACATCAGGAAGTACTGATGTCCTAGTGTGAGGTGTTGAAAACAGGTTTGGTGTTGTGGTAATTCAGGCATTTGAACACTGTTTGCCAGAATTATACTGAAGACTTGGTCACTCCAAACACATGGAAGACTCTTTATCTGGTATCATACACCATGACAAAAATAATTGGGGTAGGTAGCTAAACTTACAGGTATATGTTCTGAAATACTTGTCCTCATCTTAATTTTTTCTTTTGCCTAAGAAAGCACTTTATTGATACTATTCTCAAATTATTGTTGAATGACTTTGAAATTTGATGGCAAATGCATGTGATTAACACTTGAGAATTTGTCATGGTTTAACCCTGGCAGGCAGCTAACCACCACACAGCTGCTTGCTCACTCCCACCTGCTGCGGTGGGATGGGGAAGAGAATCAGAAGGGTAAAAGTGAGAAAACTTGTTGGTTAGGAAAAAGATAGTTTAATAGGGAAAGCAAAAGTGGTGTAAGTGAATTCATTCACTGCTTCCTATCAGCAGGCAGGTGTTCAGCCATCTCCAGGAGAGCAGGGCTCCATCATGCCTAATGGTTACGTGGAAAGACAAATGCCATCATTCCAAATGTCCTCTCCCTTGCTTCTTCATCCCCCAGCTTTTATTGCTGAACATGATGTCATATGGTATGGGATGCACCTTTGGTCAGTTGGGGTCAGCTGTCCCAGCTGTGTTTCCTCCCAACTTCTTGTGCAGCCCTGGCCTACTTGGTGGTGGGGCAGTGTGGGAAGCAGAAGAGGGCTTGATGCTGCTCAGTAATAACTAAAATCCCTGTGTTATCAAAACTGTTTTCACCACAAATGCAAAGCATAGCACCATACAAGCCTCTATGAAGAAATTTAACTCTGTCCCAGCCAAAACCACTGCAGACTTTAATACTTTTGCTTTCAGTCACTTCTGTGCTGGTTATTTGTTCTCAAGCATTTTAAACCTATGCCACCAGTTTCAGTGTAATTCCTGCTTGACTTAAACTGCAGGGATGTGAGGGGTAAAAGGGTGTGTTTCAGTAGTGCTCGGTTAAAATATTTGAACGGATCTTGAAGGGAAGGTGTGAAGTAGTGTGCATAAAGCAAACCAGGCCTTCTGCTTCAAGTGGACCTGCTGTAGCTAGAAGGTGTTTGTACCTAGATGGTAAAATTACACATCTCTAAATGACTCGAGTATAATTAATGCAATGCTGATTGTCATCAATCATTGTGGAAGGGGAATCATGGCTAACAATCTGTTCAAGAAATAGTTTCAACTGCATAAAGGCAACCTGTATGTAACTGGGACTTGGTTACTGGGACATAGCTGTACAGCACAACACAGTTAAGGGTTTGAGTGTTATGAGAATGGATGATTTTTGACAAAATCTGCAGGTCTGTCAGTTCCACAGATGCATCGGTATTGTACTTTTTTTAGTGTTCCTGCTTGACACATTGACATGCAGGCCACTTTTGTATCTGTTTCAAGCTTTTGTGAATGCTGAAACAAAAGAAAAGCTTTTGCAGATCCTTCTTCAAACTGCAAACAATAAAATGTCTTTTTCACTTCCTCCAGCAAAAGTCTTCCTTGAATGTACTTTGGACACTAGAAAGAATATGTAAATGCCTTCTTTTGAAAAACATTTTCCAGTGACTTAAGCGCTCTTTAATTTCATGGAAATAGTCTTCTATTGTCTCTAAACAAAACTTCAGTCTTTTCTTTAGTGTTTCTTAGGAATTCTTTCCCCTTCTTTCGAGACAAAGGATGAGAAGGAAAGAAAACTAGGTAACTGCTGGCTGGCTAGTGAAGACTGTTATACTGTTAGTTGTCTGTAGTGGTGGAAGTAAACTTAAGTGATACTGTTTGAGGGCTGCAGCTGTACTTTCCTTCCAAAGACTGAGAAATAAAAATTTGCTTCTTAATATTCTTTCTGTGTAGTGTTATTCTAAATGTATGTTCATAATAGTAAGTCCACTCTACTCTAGCATGTCCTTCTTACTGCTTCCAGAAGGGGATTAGCCCAACTTACGGACAAAACAAACATCTGGAAAATGTGATACAAATGTTTACTCTAGAGCTAATGCATATTTCTTGTTTTGTAAAATGCATGTTAAGGGAGAGTGATATGCCTAGTCTTCTATCATGCTTTGCTAATGGAATAGATCCTCTAAAAGGAATGAGTGTTACTGGGCCAAAGGCAACTTCTGAACTCTATAAATCCAAGGAGAACAAACTAATATTCAGTCCATTCTCTTCTTTAAACTGATCTATGTATTTGTATTTCTGCAGTCCCTAAAGCTCCAGAGATAGATCTAGCAGCATGTCTGGTTGCTGATAACTGCATAACAGTATCGTGGAGAATGCCTGAAGAAGACAGCAGAGTTGATCATTTTGTACTAGAGTATAGGAAAACCAACTTTGACGGGCTTCCTCGAGTAAAAGATGAACAGCATTGGGAACTGATAGACTATATTAAAGCTACTGAATATACATTGTCAGGTAAAAGTTATTTTATAATGTAAAACCAAGAATACTGATACAACTCTTTATGCTTGGAAATTTTGCGAAATACCCCTTTTTGGGTACGTTATTAAGCTTTCATTGTTTCACATTAGTCTTGAGTGCTTTGTACAATAGTAGCTCTGCCTTTTGTTTTGACTTTGAGGTTTGTAAAAAATCATGTATTAAATGAAGTTCACGGTGATATTTAAGCTTGTTTTTTGCAGATTGAGATAAATGGAAGACAGCTACATGGAATAGATCTTAGCCTTGTAAAAATTGTCAGTGATTAATACCAATTCAAGTTTCTAAATATTCACTTTTTAGGTCTGAAATTTGATACAAAATATATGAACCTTAGAGTACAAGCTTGCAACAAAGCTGTGGCAGGGGAATACTCTGATCCCGTGACTCTGGAAACTAAAGGTAAAATTTGAAAGGCTCTAACCTTAGATGTAGTGAAAACCCTGCAGTTGCTGTTCTGCCTTCATATATGAACTTGTATGCTAAGTCTGCTTCTCCATGAGGAGTGCTGAAACATGTGTCCTAAGTGAAAAGGAAAACAACCATTTCTGTAAAGGATTAAGCAGCTTATTGACCCAACTGGCCTTTTAGCATTCAGACAGAAAAAATTGTGGATTGACAGTATTATGTGCTGGTACATCATGCCAACATATAGCAAGACAAGTGGAACGTTGTGGCTGAGCAGCGATAGGACTCTTAGAGCATCTGAACAGTCAGTGTAGTTGGCTGATTATTAATACTTAGCATGTGACAGGTAACAGCTTTCTGTAAATAGAAGGTGCTGAAAAGGGTTGTTTTTTTTTTTACTTTGTAGCTGTAGATTCTAATCACTGTCAACATTCAAAAAATAAGCAGCTCCAGATTGCTAAAGTTATTAAGTCATTGTGTTAGTTGGTCTGAGCACGATGGCTTCCTAACATCGTTTTGTAAGTAAACTAGAAGAAGAATTTCTTGGAAGTGATGTTTTGTGACAGAACACAAATCTTAACTATTACGTTGGAGACAATGATCCTGAGGCTTTAATTTTAGCCAAGTGTATAGTGTAAAGGGCAAAATGACTGATATGAGCTGGATAATTAAAATACAAATTGTTACTTGTGAATGCTACTTCATAAAAACAATTTAAATGAGCTGATGGGCATTCTGGTATCTTTTCTAAAACTAGTTTAATATTGTTAAACAACAGTCATTGTCAGATATATAGTATCCATTTAATAGCCACTTACATTTCTGACTCCAGTAACAGAAAAATAATTCTGATTTTGATTGATTGGGTAGTTATCATGCTTCCCCTATTTTTGTTATTTCTGTGTGCACATTTAGTTCACTTTCTTTAATAATCAGCCGATAGAAGCTCAGTACTCTTGTCCATGTGCTTACCTTGTTGTTTTTTAGACTTCTGTGCTGTTGACCTCTAAGATCTTAAATCTCAAGTATACTTTCTTTCAGAATCGGACTATAATATCTGATGGTATTAGGACACTTACAGAATAGTCTGTAAATAAACATCTTTAGGGAACTTGGCATGTTGTATTAGTTTTATTTTCCTGGATGAAAGACTTGGCTACAACAAATACCAAGTGTCTTCTAGTTGCATTCATCCTCTACTGTTCTTGTATCTGCAGTTGACTTCACAGTTCAACTGTGTCTGCCTGCATGTGCTACCCTGTCAACTTAGTATTCTCCAGGTTTGCAGTCCTTATTAATCACAAGCACCTTGTTGTAGAATCAGTGCTGCATAGCATGGAAAGTAAGCATACCTTTTTTAATCAGTCATGATTGTAAGAATCTAGGGAGTACACTGTAAGTAGCAGAAAACACTAGCTGAATTTAATTGCTGCAGCATTATAAAGATGAAAAAACTTACTTTGATGTAACCTATGTGCTGAAGGTAGATGGTTGGCCTTTATTTAAAGGGCTCCTTACCTTGATTACAAGCATGAGACTAAAAAGCTGATGTTTCTATTAAGTTGAATACTGCTCTGCTACAATCTTGCTGTTGCTTCTATCATTTTCTATGAATGGCCACTGTTGGGAGAGAGCATTATACCATTTCACTGTTTTACATTTTGTCTTGACCAGCATTTGTGTTCGGTTTGGACAGTACTTCATCTCATCTGAACTTGAAAGTTGAAGATAACTATGTTGAATGGGATCCTACTGGAGGCAAAGGCCAAGAAAAAATAAAAGGGAAGGAGAACAAAAGCAGGTAAGAACTCTGTTTTGTCTGGGATATCTCATCTGGAAATAAGGGAAGAGGGCAGAGGGGAATTAAAGCACTTCAGGACAGTGGGACACCAAAGCAGTTTTCATTCAGAAATCTTTCTCTGGAAGAAATTTTTATTTTATTCCCCTGTCACATAGATGTGGAGGCTATTTATGGAAGCTGTTAGAAATGTGTCTTAATCATTAAATAGAATTTAATTAGCCTAACAAATGTATTTTAAAAATATCATTCAAGGTACTGAAATATCTTGTAGATGTGGTGGGTTGACCTTGGCTAGCCACCAGATGCCCACCAAGCTGCTCTATCACTTCCCCTCCTCAACTGGACAGTGGGAGAGAAAGTATGATGACAGGTTCGTGGGTCAAAATAAGGACAGGGGAGATCACTCCACAATTACTCTTACAGGCAAAACAGACTCGATTTGGGGAAATTTAAATTTATTGCGAATTAAAAGTCAGAGTAGGATAATTAGAAAGAAGGACAAATCTTAAAATACTTTCCTCCCACCCTCCCTTCTTCCCAGGCTCCACTTCACTCCAGACTTCTCTACCTCCTCCCCCCAAGCAGCACAGGGAGATAGGGAATGGAGGTTGCAGTGAGTTCATCATACATTGCTGCTCCTTTCTCCTCACACTCTTCCCATGCTCTGACATGGGCATTTACCATGGGCTGCAGTCCATCATGAACTGCTTCAGTGTGGGTCCTTTCCACGGGGTGCAGTCCTTCAGGAATGGGCTGCTCCAGTGTGGGTCCCACACAGGTCCACAGGTTCTGCCAGCAAACTTGCTCCAGCATCGGCTCTCCGTGGGCTGCAGCTTCCTTCAGGGCATATCCACCTGCTCTGGTGTGGGGTCCTCCACAGGCTGCAGGGTGGCTATATTCTCACTCCTCTCTTCCAGCTGCTCTTGCACAGCAGTTCTTACCCTTTCTTAAATATCACAGAGGTGCTACCACTGTCACTCATGGGCTCAACTTTGGACAGTGGTGGGTCTGGCTGGAACTGGCTCCATCTCACATGGGGGCAGCTTCTGATGTCTTCTCACAGAAGCCACTCCTGTAGCCCCCTCACTACCAAAACCTTGCCATATAAATCCAATAGAGTAGGTAAGGTAAATGTCTGCAGGCAATTGATGTAATTCAATGTTTAGTAGTGTTGCAGGTCAGTACTGGTGAATAGACAACTTTTCTACTATAAAAAATAAGTAAATAGCTGGCTGCTTTGTCCTTTTGAAAAAGCTAAGGTTAAATAAAATTTGTACTATAGGTGATGTTTGAATTTATCTCATAACCCTTACTGGTGGAGGAAAAGGTACCAATAAAACAAAGCAGGTAGCAAAAGATAACAGATAATGGAACATAACTCTTGTAAAAATGGCAGCCCTAAACATATTTACCAACTATTTTCATCTACAAAAAGTACTTAAGTAACTTCAACAGAATTCTTGGTAGATTGTTGAGTGTTAAGCACTTAGATGTGTGCTCTTCAGAATCACTGAATAAATATAGTTGTAAGAATATCACTAGATCAGTCTACTCTGCCTGAATCTTGAATATATCCAAGCATGAAGAATGTGGCAACTCGCTGAACCTCTGTTCCGGGCCACCTTCATGTGAGGGGAGGAATATCCTGATACTGACTGGAATTTCCTGTGGTGCAATGAGTAGCAGGTGCCTCTCAGCTATCAGTGTGCACTCCTCTGAAAAGTCTGGCTCAATCTTCTCTGTACCTTCCTGTTATGTTGTTAAATCCAGCAATTAGCTCTTGTCTTTCTGAGGCTGAGCAAACCCAGTTGTTTTCCTGTGCTCCAGTCCCTTAATTGTGTTCATTTCCCTCCACTGAACTTGCTCTAGTATCTCAGTGTGTAGTCCTGAGGAGCGCAGACCTTGACACAGGATTTCAGCTCAGTCTGACAAGTGCCAAATCAAGAGGAACAGTCACTTGCCTTGGCTTCGTGGTTGCTGTCTTGCTGCTACAGCCCAGAATGTGCTCAGCCACCTCTGCTCCAAGGACACAGTGGTGTCCACCTGTTGTCAGGTCTTGTAGCCCACCAAGACTCCCAGCTGCTTTTCTGCAGAGTTGCTCTTCCTTCAGTTGTCCCCTAGCCTGTGTGGGCTTTTCTCATCTGGAGAACACTGTCCCTAGCTGTGAGCCTGGTGTTCAACTGGTTCTGTACGCAGCTTATGGCACACCACCTAGTCTATATCTCACCTCTTGAGGTTTGAGGATACTGTGTGGGAATGGGTCAAAAGCCTTGGCAATGTCAAGATGTGAACAGTGTCCGTTGCTCTTGCGTTGTCCACAGAGCTGGCTACTTCTTCCTCAAAGACAATTAATTAACTTTCAACATGTGCTTTTCAGTATAAAGAGCACTGCTTAAAACAATTTATGAACAAATACCTTCCCTATAGGCATATACTGCCAGAATCATGGTAGAGTTAGTTTTAGTGGCATCTTAAAAATGGGGATAATTTACTGTAGTAATAGAACAGTCGTTTAATGACTACTTATTTCTGTCAACAGTGGCCAGAATCCTCTGCTGAAGAGCAATAGAAGGTGATAATATACATCTTACTCCTAGGATCTAGCACCTAGTTTTGTTGGGAGTCTACGCTCCTTCCCTTTGCTGATGTAGCGAGAAATAAATCTAATAGCCTTTATCAGTAACAGTACACATATGCTTTTAAAAATTATTTTGAAGTTTAATTTGGATTTGTAGAGATTATGTATCTATTTTCCAGTGCCTGTAAAACAGTCTTCATGGAAAGATATGTCCTAGTATGTGGGCGACCTGATTTGCAATGGTTGGAAGAGCATTATGTATTCTAGTGTTGATACAAAGATCCCTGTTATTTACAGATATACTGATGCTTACTTAACCTTCTGGCAGATGATGGCACACTAAAGTTCTTACAAATTAAGAAAAGAGCTCCTTTCTGAGAACTTTAAAACTTTTTTAGTTCTTATTTTTGAATTTGAAAACGTTTTTGCCTCTAAACTTGTGCTATAGCTGTTACTAGACATCAGAGGAAAAGAAATAAATGTTTTTACACTTTCAAAGAGGATGAAGTTTAGCCTGATGGCATGTGTGAAAAGCTTCATGGCAATTCTACTCGTGAAACCAATTGTTCAAATGAGAGTGCCTCTTTTTTGACATGTAAAGGCAGCTAAAATACCCTCCTATTCCTTGTGCAATTGTGGGTTTAGAGTAAATATTTTTTCATGATTTTTCTAGTAAAACTTTTGTTTGAGAAATTATTTCTCCCATTTTTTCTCTCTTGCTCTTTGCCATTGGTTTAGAAGTTGTGGGACCAAAACAAATGCTCAGGTTCATAATTTCTTCTAGGTTTTACTCCTCTGTATTCATCCATCAGGTGGCTATATCTTTGGCTTGAGATAAGCAGCAAAGGAAAGGTTTTTTTAATGTGAAACAAGCTCTTGAAGCTGTGCAGTGTTGATAGTTCTACTACACAAAGTGTACCAATTTCTGCTAAACTAAGTTTTTAAACTGTCTTGGAGATACTGCTACTTGCTCAACAAACTCTGCGAGTCTTACACCTTGATCTCCCTTTGTAGTTGTCAGTAAAGAACTTACCTAGTTCTGGCCTTTGTTTTGGTAGAAGAATATGGTCACATTTTCAGCTTTGCATCTCAGGCTGACTTTTTCTAGCAGGACATTTAGATGAGCTTTGATTCTTGCAGGAGGCTTTTGTTCCCTGTTAATAGTATCTGCGCGATGTTGTCTGCATTAGAGGGAAAATTTGAAGCTAGCTCCGTAGTTAGTAGAAAAAAATGCAGTACAATTGTTTTAAACATCAAATGTGCAGCTTTCAAGGGTTGGAAAGACACAATGGCAATAAAATGCCTAATGATCTGTAACATATTTATTAGACTTGAAAAAAGCCTTTGGATAACTTCTGATATCTCTCCATGGATAAATTCTGACATACCTTCTTCACCTTTACTCTCCAAAAGAGAAGACATACTGCTTGGAATATGTTTTATTTGCTGAAATGGATAAGAAAACTGAGACTAACTGCAGTGCTGTAGGCAATAATCCTAACCATAAGACCAGAATATCTCGTCACTGAATAGCAGAGGAAATGCATCAGTTACTGTACTAGCTAATGAAGACTGTGCTGTGTTGGAAAATGGGCACCAAACTGACTTTCTGCTATAAAATTTCCTCCCTTTCTATATTGGAAGGGAGACTTAAGCACTGGGGGGAAAAAAAAACCCAACGAACTGTTTTTTCAAACTTTTATACCAAATATTTAATGTCATTGTCCAAACTGTTAAAGGCTGTTAGATTTTGAGTGGACAAATTACATACAGTGGCCATTTACAGAAGACTTGAACAAAATAAATATTGAGGATCTTTTAAAGTTTTCCTAACTTTGAGAAAATACTACCATAGCACCTGCATTTTTCTTATGGTGATTCTCTAAATGGCCACATTGCTTTCTGCATAACTCATTTATACTGAATCTAATAGAAAAATTTCAGCAGCTTTTGTTGGAAGTGTGAGTGAATGATCTCTGATGCACTTGAAGGAGGATGGAATCTGCAAAGTGATGGTTCCCTCTGAAATTATCCTTTAATTCTTGGCTTTGCTTTTTTTGTTTTAATGCTATCACTTGTTACCTTTTTCTTTGGTAAGTAAACTACAGCTCCTCGGTGTTAACAAAATTCAAAAGCATTTGACGTGGTGCACCTGCATAATATACACTTACCCCCTTCATGTAACTCTTGCAAGCAATTTAGAAGCTCAGGTGTCTTCTGATCAGTACTGGCAAATTTATATTTTAAATGGTGATGCTAAAGTAGACAACCTTTTCATCAGTGATTTCTTGTAGACTTCTGGAACTGGAATAAAACAAACTTAGTCATGAAGATGACCAGAGATTCTAGCATACTTACGTACGACAGCTTGATACCACTCAGCTTTTGATTCCTGTGTGACTTTATTTTAATGGAAGTATTAGGCAAAAGGGACATTTTCTAACCCTTTATGAAACGGTATTTGAGAACAGTTCTAGAAAACTTGAAATCAGTGTTGAATGAATTGGAAGTGAAACAAGCTAAACTTCACTGTATTAAAGGACATTTAAGTAGCAATTAGCTTTACCAAATTGTAGCTGAGGGATAAGTTGGAGAGAGAACTTTCTTTTGTGTGTGGTAACTCTTCTAAAGCTGATGTATGACAGACTACAGAAGATGAGGATTTGAAAATTACTTCTCATGTGCAATTCAGAGACTTACTTTGTACTTTTAAAATTTTTTGTCAATGAAATTAAACTGTAAACTGCATAGCTAGTTTTGAAAAATTAAAATTCTTTGCTACTGATTCCCTTTAAAATAATAACCAGATGTGATTCCCTGGCTACTGAGGTTTAATATTAACTGTAATTTGCAAATAGCCTTCATTTGTTTAATGGTTAAATTGCTAGGAATTATTTTTGAGGGCATAACCAAGGTAAAATAAAATGTTTGAAAACTTCATTAGGTTAAAATTATTCTTTTATGCAACTGATTGCTCACTAGAATATTCTCTAGAGCGAAGTGTGTCTTCATTTATTTTGCTATTGCTTCCTGAGAATGCTTTTGAAAAGTACGATTAGAAAATCTAAGTATTTCTTGATTGGGATTAGACTCTTAAATTTTATAATGACTCTTGGAGAGTTGCTATGTGCTTCTCAGTGCAATGTGTTGTGACACAGTTTTGTTTTCTATAGTCTTTGATAGAGTCACTATAATCAAATAAAATCCCCATCCTCCAATACAATATACTTTTGGTGTTTGGTTCTTTTTTTTTCTTTTTTGAGGAGAGTTGTCATGCATTAAACTCTGGAAGTCTCACTTCATCTGTTTTTAATCTAAACTGTGTTTAGATTTGACAGTCTCGGGTTTTGTATCATCTTCAGTGTGTGCATTTTTAAATAAAAATATCACAATTTTATTCCTTTCATTCTGCATTGGGTTATACTTTTTCCTGGGATTTCAGTCATTCTTATACAAGCCACACATGTGCTGAAAAAGCTGCTTTTACCACAACTGATGCTATTTTCCCATTCACTGATATTTAAATTCCAGTGAAAATTAGGCATTTTGGCATTGAATATCAGCAGTGTATTCATACTTATCTGATTGTTATAGCTGATCTACAAGACTTATTATAGAAATCTTGTGCGGAAAACCAGAAATATGAATTCTCTAAGGTTCTGCATAGTCCAGACAAAACACTGTTTTATGCAGGTGTTCATTCAAACTATGTGCCACGCATCTGCTTTTTTTCCCCTTCCTGTTTCCTTTCTCAGCTGCCTCTGAACTCATTTGTTGCAATGTCTTGTGTTTTTTCTGGCTGTCATCTCTTCTGTCTCAGTTCTTGTGCATGCATGCTGTTAGAGGTGTTAAGTGGCTGAACTAGTGTCATTTCAATAGCTTATGGATGTTTATTGCACCCTAATTGACTCAGGAAAACTTGTTTGTGTGTGCATTTCTGTAATTACATTCAAATCTTGAACGGTTTATTTCTTCTTAGAAGTGGTGCACCATCTCCAAAGAGGACATCTGTTAGCACAAGATCTGCAGCAAGGGGCAGCAGAGATCGTTTTACTGGTGAATCATACACAGTGTTGGGTAAGGTCAACTTTTCACTTCTGTTAGAGGTGTAAATGCTGTGGAAGGGCAGATTAGGTAAGAATTTGAAGGAAAACTTGTGATTGTTCAAGGCTGTGTACTTGATGCTGTCCTGCACAGAGGGAGTTTTGCCTAACCGTAGAATGTTGTGCTACAGCAGGTGTCTTCAAGTCTGTTGAGGCTCTTTATTACAAAGCTCTGTTACTGACATTCACTGCTATTAAATGTGAATTGATGTTAAATGTATCTTGCCTCAATGAGTGTAAGTAAAAACTGTCTCATTATTCTATTTTATATTTATATTCTGTTTTCTTGTACATTAGTCTTTTTGTTCCTTATAGTTTCCATTTTTGTACTTCTAAGCCTTCACCTTAAAATAAAGCAGAGAAAACATCACTGGTGCCTGTAAGGAAGCAAGCATTGTAAGGTACACTTAATTAACTCAATTAAATGTGTTTGTTTTTTTTTTTTGGTAGGAGACACTGCTGTTGAAGGTGGACAGCATTACTGGGAGGTGAGAGCCCAGAAGGACTGCAAATCCTACAGTGTGGGAGTGACGTATAGAAACCTGGGGAAATTTGACCAGCTGGGAAAGACTAATTCAAGCTGGTGCATCCATATCAACAACTGGCTGCAAACCACATTTTCAGCAAAACATAATAATAAAACCAAGACTCTAGATATACCTGTTCCAGACAGAATAGGAGTATACTGCGACTTTGATGGAGGTAAATTACAGTCTCATGAGATTTAGCTAAAAACTTAGTTGGCTATCCACATCAAGTTGAAGCAGTACAAGGTTATAGTAGTACATTACTTCCAGATTGATATAGTCTCTTATGAAAATAAGGCCCAGACCTCTTTGTGTAATAGTCCTTGTAATGTCAAATGACCTGGGTTCATCTATGTGACAGAGCTACTAATTGAGAATTTTTAAGTCATGTGGACTGTCTTTAGTGTGTTCTGAAAACCTTTCCCTGGAAAAGAATAAATTTTACAAGAAATTACACAGCAATAGCATTTAGACATGTATTTCAACTTGTTTTTTGTCTCCTTTAGGTCAGCTCACATTTTATAATGCAAACTCAAAGGAGTTGTTACACACCTTCAGAACAAAGTTTACCCAGCCATTATTGCCAGGCTTCATGGTCAGTATCTATAAAATTTTGTTCAGTTTCTAGCACTGAGTTCGGTTTGCTGAAGACTTAATTGTTTTTTAAAGGAGGAAACTGGGAGCACAGTTTTTGGGTGACTAGTTACTTTTAAAAATGTTCAGCTATTTCCTTTTTGATTTCATGTGGTGCTTATAATAGCATTCCAATACGACAACTCTGCACCTGGATGTCTCAGCTATGTAAATAAAAGTCACTAAATTTTTGTAGAGTAAATTAATAGCACATTCTGGTAGCTGATGAGCCTGCTACAATAATTGACCTGAACTGATGCAGATAGGAGTCCAAGATGCTGTGAACTGTCAGAGCAGGTATCATGAGACAGAACACCACCAGATGCTTCCCTCTGAAATACAAGACTCTAGCTTTTAAATCTTTAAAATTTCAGTGGGATTTTCTTACCAGTCATTTCACTGGTATGCATAACTTGTTTGTGGCTCTAAGCTAATCAGCGAAAACTTGCTGCAATTCCAAAGACTCAAACCTTGCAAAAAATGTTCAGGAAAAGGATTGGTTACTCTGTATTGGTTTTCCTTTAATGATTCAAGCAATTTGTTTAAGTAAGTAAATTTGGAGGTGTGCGCTGCGTTATAAAGTGCTATCAAGTGCATCACACTTAGGGAGCAGGGTATAGGTCTAAGAAAACGTAGGGATCTGAACGATTCTTACTTGCTGCTAGCACATCAGTCTTCAAAGAAGTTTTCCTATTAGGAGCAAGTTTTTTAGTATTAGATCTTAGACTTGGTTAGAAACTTAGTCATAAAGCATAGTATATGAAGCATCTTAGACTTTATGGTCTTAAAAATTAGCTTCTGTGTGATTAGAATGTTTCAGAGTGCTGTGACTAGAGAGCAAGAGAGAATACAAGTGCAGCTGCAGGATGAGTTTTGTGTTAGTTCCATTGTGGGACAGGAGAAGAGAGATGTAGATGCTTCATAATGTTTGTTTTTTCTCCCTTAGATCTGGTGTGGTGGGCTTACAGTGAGTACTGGACTGCAGGTGCCAAGTGCTGTGAAAACGCTCCAGAAGAGTGAAAATGGATTGAGTGGTTCAACAAGCAGCCTAAACAATATTGCCTAGTATTGTCTATTAATCACTTCTGTTGCTGAATGTTTTGTTTTTTCTTTGTAGCTGCTTTATCCTAGGATTAAACTGGGTTTGCTACCTACTGCTGTTTAAGGCTTGCGTACTGATAGTGCGAAGGTTTGGAGCTAAAGTGTTAGGAACCTACTGTGAATACAGACAGAAATGTCAGACAGAAAACAGAACTGTTGCCTATTTGAAAAATAAGTGGAGAAATCAAGAGCTGTAACTATGTACTTTTCTAATACTGTATTTAAGGATTTTGTTATGAATATTATTTTTCTATGAAGAATATAACAAATACCATTTTCTTAGCTCTCCTAACACAAATTACTTGTGTTAAGTAATTAACAAAAGTAATTACAAAATAATATTTTATTATTACTGGGCTTCCCATTAGAACTTGTGATATCAAACATGCATTTCAAAAGAATATTTATTTGCTAGCCTAGCCTGGCAAAATATCACAGCAGTATGATTTCAAAAGAATATTATAAGAAATTGTAGGTCTGATATGAAGAAACAGTAAGAGCAGTCTGTGATTTTATTTTTTTTTCTGATACAGAATCCTCCTATTTCCCATGAGTAACTATGTATGTATCATATTTAGAGTTTGGCTCCTGTTTATGACAAATTACAGAAAATGTAAAAATTTAAAGGTATTTAAAAACATTCTTGTGTCCTCAGTGAAGATGCATTATGATAGCCAGCCATTGAGATAGGATGTGTTTCAGGTAAGAGGTTCAGAACGAAAAATTTAGAGCTTTTTAAAAACTAGAGCATGGTACTGCTCTCTCAGAAGTTCTTAATTTTGGGTCATCTCTTGGCTTTCCAGTTTTGTGGCATTATTCTAACTGGATTCTGATAATCAGCAATTCACATTGTTCATCAGATGTGAATGACGAATGGAATCTTTGCCAATAGCAAAGCTGCAATGCAGCCAAGACTGCGAATAAGGGTGTGGGAGCTTCAGTTTGAACCCGTCTCCCTGGAGAAGGTGGTGGGGGCGGGGGCAGCTATTGCTAAAACATCTTTCGGCTTTTTCTCAAGCCAGCTTCAAGGCTAGCTAAGACTTCTCAAACAGCTATGTCAATACCAAAGCTGGCTTTGAGCAGAAACAGCACTAAATTCCTAGGGATAGGGCAGTATCCTCTGAGCCCAGGCACACATTTTTGCTACCTGTTTTGACTAGCCTAGTGAGGATTCGTGGAACTTTCTGGATAACCAGAGAAGTAAAAAAATCAAATGATTTCTTTATCCAGCAGAAATGTAGCTTATATATGTAGCATCCCACTCTTAACTTGCTAGCTTGTACCGTATGCTATGTATATGTGGCTGTAAGACTGGCTTTCAGGTGGTCACATTCTAAAGGATCTCTATAGCTTCCAACTTAATGCCTTCCCCTATTTTAAAGGCAGGAAAAAAGTGGAAAGTAAGCAAATGCTTTGCCAGCTAACATATGATCTGCTTCTGGATCTGTAGTTATACGTTTTTCTTAACAAATCAAGTGAAATATTGAGCCTGGGTGTTCCATCATTTCAGCTCCTAGTTGGAAGCTTAGTAACAATAGCCGAATGATTCATAATAGTGGAAGAGCTAAAAAACCTCATGTTATATTCTTCATGGAAAATCTCAACATTTCAATGAGAACTACTTGTGTATTATAGGCTGTTTAAATCTGCTTTCTTCCCTCTAACCAAGTCCAGGAGCCTGGAAATAATTTTCAGATACATGCTTGAGTCAACTGTTTCCTAACTTAAGATTTTTTTCCTATTATCACCTGAAAACTGTTTCAAATTAATGCTGATAGGTTCCATAATGAATTGGCTCCTTTCCTGTAGGGCCAAAGTACTTTTCCTTCCATGTATCTTTTAGTCTGTAAAAACACAACCATCTAGTCATGTTAAATCTTATTAGTATCAATGAGTCCTTTGTGTCCATTAAGATTTCTCAAGAGGAGGAGAAATTCCTTGAAACAAGTCATAATAAACTGACTATGATGTTTAGTGGAAAACTTCAATTTTCTTCTTAATACCTGCTCTAGAAAGTTTTCTTTCTCTTGAGAAATCATGAAGTTGACAGGATGGTTGAGCCCTTCTTGTTCATTTCATATCTGGAACTTGAGCATCTCTAAATATTTACATTGTGAACAAAGTTCACGGTAATCTCTTCTGCAGAGGAAAGTGCGAAACAATTTCCAGTTTAACTGCCAGTTTAGTGTTTTGAGTCTATAAAACAAAGATCCTAGAAGGTGGCATGGTTCTTAAATGAATGGTGTCTGAATCTGTTTCACGCATCTACAGATGTCGTTATCCAAATAGTCTGTGTAGTAATCTTAAATATTTCTTCCTCATTTATTTCCTTTTTACTGCAATGAACACCTGACTGGGAGTTCTAGGGGCTCAGCTGCTATGAATTCAGTGGTATGTGAGGGAGTGAGACTTGCATGCTTGGTCCTCGGTGGTGTTTAGAGAGAGGAGGGTTAAGACAGATGCTTTGTGTTTTGAGACTTGTTCTATTGAATGACTGTGGTAAAGAGACATCGAAATAGGCTAGTACTTGTTCATGCTGCCCAGTCATCAGCTTGATCTTGGGTTTTCAGCTACAGTTCCTATTTAAATTTCCCTTTTTGGAAAGGAAGGGAATGTTTACAACAAGATACTATGTAGTGAGAGAACCATGAGTAATCTCCAACTCTACAGAAGAGCATTTAAATTATTAAGTTTTTTTTAGCAAGATGTAGTGTAACCTGCAAGGTAAATTTGATATGCACAATGTAAAAATGTAATTTATCTTTAACACTTAGGAGAAAGCTTGAAGTATTTCATACTGTGACTTGTGACTTGCAAGTTTTAGTTTAACTGATGTCCTAGATGACTTAACATGTGACTTTTACCCTTAAAGGATGAATTTGTTATATAATAGTTTGCACAGATGTCAAAGTTTTGCTGCTAACAGCTAGTCCAATTGTTTTTAGTAAATGGGGATATGAAGAATTGCCTTAAGCACTTTAGATTTTTTTTTTTAGACTCTTCTTTCTTCTGAGCTAGTGTCTGTCCAGTACCCATATATTGGTGGTTATTTTGTTGCAGTTGGTGCACTGTTTGTACCTGCAGCTAGAGAGGGATGCATGCAGCCTGTGAAGTTACTTTTTCCTAGGGGAATCCACTTTAGGGATTAGAGGGGTTGTTCTTTGGGAATGGATTAGACCTTTTGAAGGTTTATAGTTTTGCCTCTCTGCTCTGGAGGTGATGCTGTTTGGTGGCTAGACAGGAGTTTTCTTCTGTCGAACCAAAATGAGATTTTAAAAAAAAAAAAATAAAAAATACTGATTACTGGTAGTTTTTCAGAGTTAAAATAACTTCAGAGTAACTTGTGAGGAACTGAAGGTTTCCCTTGAGTTCTTAATACATCAGGAAACTGTAGCTTTCATTGTTTTTATGGAAAGCTGTATGAACTGCAGCAAGGGATGTTAGCTTCAGAAGGGATGATTTAAAAGCATCCAGGTGATAGGTGCTTCTCCAAATACCAAATATGGATGGTAGAGGGTGACAGGTTTATTTCGTTAGCCATCCTCTAAACAGAAAAAGTAGAGGCTAATGTACAAATCCTGTTTCCTCACCCCTTGCTGTTTCATATTAAGACTGGGGAAACTAAGTGGTTCCCTCAGGAAGAACATCTGACTTAGCAATATTTTAGTCTGATAAGGATCACAGGTTATGAACCTGACGTAGTGTCACAGACAACGGCAATGATCTCTGTCGATCATCGCC